CAGAGAGAAACATCAACGAAAGAGAAACATTTATTGCCTGCCTCCTGGGGATCGAGCTGGCAACCCTGGGCATGTGCCCTGACCAGGAATTGAACCAGCCACTTCTTAGGTGCACCGGACGATGCCCAACCAACTGAGCCACACTGGCCAGGGCCAGGATTGGGTTTATATGTAACTTTTTTTTTTTTTTTTTTTAGCCCAAATGAGTAAAAAGCATTGCTATCTTAAAAATTGGTATCATTTTTATTTTGTATACCAGAAACTCGTAATTTTCCAAGAACATCAACTATCCGTTTCCCAAGTAAACAAGGCATGTTTATTTCTCAAATGAACAAGAGTGAAAGACTTCAAGTGACTGGAAAATAAGCCTTCCTACTGGAAGGGACTGACGTTCAAACTTGGGATGGGCTTTTTGTCTCAGTGTGGGAGAATTTGATCTCCATCTTATATGGTTCTATCTCCAAGGCCTCAGATAATATAGATCTATCTGGGTCTCCTGCTGAAAGCAGTGGGAAGTATTGTATGTTTGGGAGGCGGGGGTTGTTTGCTTACTCTGTCTTCCTTCTGCCCCTGCAGACATTGCTGTGGAATTGCTCCAGAAGGCAGCCCCCAGCCCTATTCGCCGACTCCAGAAGAAATATGTAGCCCATGTGTCCCGGTGAGCCTGGAATTGAGGGGGACAGGATGACAGTGTTTGGACCTTAGAAAGAAGGGAATGATTATCTCTAAAGAGAAGATGTAAAGACTACAGGGATGAGCATCATAAGAGTTACAAGAGCTGAAAGGCCCTTGGGTTTAATTACTGATCCTTTCCACCACCCAGGGAGGCTTGCATCTCCCCATGTGCTATGATGCTAGCTCTGGTGTACATTGAGCGGCTCCGGCACCGAAACCCGGACTACCTACAGCATGTGTCCTCTTCTGACTTGTTCCTGATCTCCATGGTAAGACTCCTCCCCTTCATTTTCCTGGCGAGCTAGGAGCCCAATATGAGCTTTGTTGACACCACCTCTGGTTCCTGTGCAGATGGTGGCCAGTAAGTACCTCTATGATGAAGGGGAGGAGGAGGAGGTCTTCAATGATGAATGGGGAGCTGCAGGAGGTGTGGCTGTGCCCACTCTCAATGCCCTGGAGAGGGGCTTCCTGAGTGCTATGGTGAGTAGCTATTCTCTCTCGCTGTTTCCCTGGCCCATCTTATGTTCCTTTCATCCTTTTTTCTCTCCCAGCCTTCTGTTTCTTCATTTATCTTTCTGCCTGTCCTCCTTGTGTCTTTCCTTGTTAATATCTTCCCTTTCTAGCCCTCTGGACTAACTATAGCCTTTGGAGGTTCCTGGTGTGGTGAGGACAGAAGTGGAGCATCCTCACTTCCCTGTTCCTCCAGGCTCAGCAGGGTACACTCTTGAGTCAGAGCTTATCTTACTGGATTCTGATTATTTGCTTCCAGACTTTCTCTACTCCTAGACTCTGAGCTCTCTATGGGCATGGACCACTTGCAGGATTATTTTCTCCCTGTTCCATTAATGGAGGGTGTAATGTGAATCTAGATATGTGATGGTTAAATGAGTTAATACATAAAAGCTCTTGGAACAATATTTGGCACATAGTAAGTGCCAAGTAAGTATTACCCATAGTGGTGGTTATAGAGTTGTTGCAGCTTTGGTTATTGAATGACCATGGCTCATGTCTGAGCCTGGTTTGGTGCCCTTCTCATACCCACAGGATTGGCGTCTCTACACTGACCCTCGGGAGATCTTTGAGGTGCTGAGCTGGTTAGAGAGCTGGTATGTTCTGGGAGTTGGGAAGAGGGATATAAGGGCTGGGGCCTAAGCCATAGGAGGTAGACAGAGATGAGGGTCTATGTAACTGGGGGGAGGGAGGAGACAGGAAAGAGAATTGCCCAGGACAGTAGTTCCCAAACCTGCCTGCCCTCTTTGTAATTGCTCATCTTTGGGAGGATGGGAGAAGCTTATCTAAAATACAGATCTTGGTGTCACCCTGTTTCTGGATCAACAGGCAGCCTAGGAATCTATACTGTTAACAAGTTCCCCAGTGTTCCCTGGTGGGTCCCGGGGAGAATGAGGGTGCCATTGGACCAGCTGCAGGAGAGTTGCAGATGCTCTGTCTTTTCTCCCATCCCAACAGTGTGGCTGAGCATCAGGGACGGCGACGGGGCTGGTACACCTACACAGACATGTGTGTGCTGCTGGAGCAGCCGGCCTGGCAGCTGGCCTTGGGCTCCCTCTGTCATCGGCTGGCAAAGGTGAGGAGGGGTCAGGAAAGATAGGAGGCTTGAGGGGATTGGTTTGTGGGTGGGATGATGTAAAGCAAATGCTAAAAGGCTCAGGAGACAGCTCTGACTTGAACTTATAGAGGCAAGGGGTGGGTATGTTAAAGAGAGTCAGGAGCAGGTTTTAGGGGAATGGTATTTGGCACTGACCCTTCTTTTCTCCTGCAGCTGTCTTGCCTATTAGCTATGGCATATGTGAGCAGTGTGGCCCTGGCTATGGCGTCGATGGCTGTAATACACCAGTCCTTAGGGCTGTCCTGCAGCCTCAAACCTGGCCCTCCCGACCTTGGACTGGCCTCCAGGTGCCTCTTGGAACCCTGCATACCTTCTCCTGTGCCACAGTGCCTGCCTTCTCCTGCTAATGTCTCCAGCTTCCTGGAAGATGACAAAGGGCTGCGTTCACTCTGGGGCAGTCTTCTGGCCTCACTGACCCCCCCGCCATTGCCTCCCCCAGACCCTCCTGCCCCTCCCACTCTTCTCCATAACTGTCCCCTTTGCCAGAAGCTCCAGAAAGACTCACCAACCTGTCGTGCCTGCCACCGTCCCAACCATACGGGGCCCCTAAGCCCCTGGTACCACTCCCATGGCCTGGCTCCACCCTGGCCCTGGAGCCCAATGCCTTCTCTGCTCCCACAGCCCCAGCAATGTTCCCTTTTCAGCATCATGGAGCTGGCCCGCCTCAAGTCTTTCATTTTCCCAGGCTAGGTAGGGTCCCAAGGAATGCATGAAGAGGACTTGGGAGTCCTTGATAACCTGGAGGAGCAATGCTTGATTTAGATCCTTTCTACCTCTCTGGGTCCTTGGCTGGTCCCCTGTTATTCTGGGTGAGGGAGCTTAAGGGGGGGAGGGTTAGGGGCAGAAGGACTAAAGGTCTCTCGCTCTCCTAGACCTCAGTGGCTGGCTGCTTAGCCAGGGCAGTGGTGGTGCCAAGGAAAGCTTCAGCTCAGTGACCGGGGCATGTCACAGATGGGCAGAGGAGAAGCCTTTGTCTCTTCACCTTTAGGCTCTTTTAGACTTTAGCTGTTTAGTTCCCTGCGATGTAAGGGTAAAGGTGGGAGATGGGAAATGGGAAATGTGGGGGAGGGAGGGAGGAAATGTTGATCAGGTCTGTGTGATGTCTCTGAAGCAAGGGAGCCAGGGATTGATAGGGCCAAGGGGAAAGCTGGGGAGCCCAATCCACACCTGCCCCTTGGATGTAGTCTAAAGGAGCCAGGGACTGCTGGGACCTTCAACCTTGCCCTGTTGTCTTCCGACCTTTTCTTTTTAGTACCCTGCTCCTGGGCTTCCCTCTCTTCCAGTTCCCCTCCTGGGTGTTCTCTTCACAGGCCTCTCTGGCCGCTGCTTTGTATCTGGGTTTTTCACGCTTTTGTAGAACTGAGGTTTCAATAAACAGTTTCAGTTGCATGGCCTGGACTCTTCCTTCTCTGGCAGCCTTGGAAGAACTTTCTTCCCATATTTGCCTTCTAAGCCTCCCCACTTCCTGATCCCGTCATCTTGCACTTATTCTTTCTGAGCCCATTTTAGAACTTGTCTATTGTTTGATAATCATAGGCTCCCATTTCAAACTTCCCTTCATCCCTGTTCCCAGTACCCCGGGGTCACTAGCGCTGCCGAACTTGGGTGCCATGGGGCACAGATGGCGACTGTACCATGCCTGGGGTTGATCCTGACTGTCAAAAGTTCTGAATCCTTGTGGATTCTTAAGCACATCTTGTGGAGAGGCCAAGCCACGTATCCAGCAGGGTCCCAACAGCTTGAGGGCAAGCCCTGAGGACACCTGTGAATCCTGACTTCCAATCCAGTCGGGCACGTGGTGGTGGTCAGTGATAAGAGCAGTCCAAGGCTGGGTTATTATTGGAAGAAGGAAAACCTCTCTGGGCAGCTGGGCTGAGGATATTTGGGACTGCTTAAGATGATCCATAGTAGGGTGTACTGTCTGCCCCTGAGGGGGCATTTTGGAAATTTATGGGACATTTTTTGATGCAAAAATTTGAAGGTATGCTACTGGCATTTAGTAGGCCTGGGCAGAATGCTAGACATCCTGATATGCTCAGGACCCCTCTTATTAGGAAGAATTCCCAAGATGACTTTGGAATGACTGGCTGCACATCCTGCATAAGAAAACCCTGTTAATATTTTACCCTAGAACTATCTAACTTCACAAACTCCTTTTGGTACATTTTCAAAAAGACTTAGTTTTCCAGGAATGCACCTCCATGCAAATTAAAACTTACTTTCCATGAACTCATTCACTACTTTGGAGCATCAGGTCACCAATGGCAGCACTGCCTGTGGTCATGAATCAACCAGAAAGCACCAGCATCACTTGGCATTGTAACCACTGCATCCATGGTGATTCTATGTGTGGAGGTGGGGCTGGATCACTTCATTGTGTTCTGGTTTAGTTGGGCCCACACTTCCACATAATGAAATACCTTTTATCATAAATTACTTTATTTGTCCTTTATATTACAGCGAGGACATTAAATATAGAGTGTGGTCAGTTGTCATATGTGTCATTCATTACCCATGCATTTCCATTTGAGGGAGTCCAAGGGGTTTGACCCTGACAGGGTTGAGGACTACAGTGTAATGATGGTTCCAGATTGTGGTGGCGAGGAGGGGACACAGTCCGAAATCTATCTATTTTCTAGGTCTCCTGACTCCTCCTATCCTGCTTTACAGAGACCAGAACAGGGGATCTAGATGGAGATTCTTGAGGGAGGGTTCCAGAACATGGTTCCCAGTTAATAGATGATAGAATTTGCACAAGAACTGGGCAAAGGTGAAAGAGCCGCGTCCTGTCCCAAATCTCATTCCTTCGTTCTGCTTCATTGACACCCCAACCACCTCCCCACTCCAGGCAGCTAACTTCACCCAAACTCTGACCTCTTACTTTACTTAATTCTGGCCCAGGGCAGTCAACACAAGACGAAAGGCAGGACCCCATGAGCCGATCACACCCACATCCCATTCAACTCCAATTGGTGGGCTCCCAGGATGCCAGGGCTCCCCTGCCACCACGGCCTGCTGTCCAAAATCCCTCTTCCCACTCTTGGGCCTCTCTATGTGGGCCTCCTCCCTGGGGCCTTGGCTGTCTTCTGGCTTTGCAGGTAGGAGGCAGATGTGCAGAAGTTGGTGCTGGCTGAAAGGGGGTATTTGGGGAGTAGATATGGCATGAGAAATTCTCTGGAAATAGGTATTTCTGCCTGTTTCTGAAGACCCTCCTTCCCATATCTCCACCTGCAGCATATTTTGGTCCTGGCTTCTCTGCTCTGTGCCTCCCACCTGCTTCTGCTTCGAAGCCTACCCCCAGGAGGACTCTCTTACTCCCCTGCCCACCTCCTGGCCTCCAGCCTCTTTTCATGTGGTGTGTCTACCATCCTGCAAACTTGGATGGGCAGCAGGTAAGAGGGACTTCCTAGAGGGAGAGGGCAGATCCCAGGGGGGAGGGGGCAGGTAGGAGAGGCTTGGGAAGTCCTTTTGGCTGCCACCTGTTTCCAGACCTGCTGGGGCCGCTGTTCCTATAGGTTGCCTCTTGTCCAGGCTCCATCCTTTGAGTTCCTTGTCCCTGCTCTGGTGCTGACCAACCAAAAGCTGCCTTTGGCCATCCAGACACCTGGAAACTGTGAGCACAGAACAAGGGCATGGGGCGAGGGTAGGGTTGGGTGCTAATCTGAGCATACAGGTGTAGGTAGGTGCAGGATTGAGAATAGGCAGTGGTGGGACTGTGAGGCACTCTGGGGTCTTGGAGCTGTGCCAGGCATCAGCTAGGACTGCATGGCAATGGATCTCCATCCCATTTACCCCTCTCCTCTCCTCTCCTCTCCATGTCCCCAACTTTCCAGCCTCCCACATACTGCACCTGTGTGAGGGGCCTGGCTGCCGTAGCCTGGAACTCTGGAACACTTCTCTCCGAGAGGTAAGTGTTTGGGGATTGGGAGGCTCTGGTTTCCATTATGCAGGGACTGAGCTGCTCTGGGAGAAGGAGGTGGGGGTGGCTCTGGGGAGGCACCTGCCCCTGGAATTAGTTAGGAAGTCCAGCTGAGGTCAACTCAGATGGACTCTGTTTTTCTATTCTCTGTTCTTCTCATCCACTCCACTAGGTGTCTGGGGCAGTGGTGGTGTCTGGGCTGCTGCAGGGCACGCTGGGACTGTTGGGAGCTCCTGGCTACTTGTTCCTCCACTGTGGACCCCTGGTGCTGGCCCCCAGCCTGGTTGTGGCAGGACTCTCTGCTCACAGGGAGGTGGCCCTGTTCTGCTCTGGTCACTGGGGGCTGGCCTTGCTGTACGTAAGTCCTGAGAGACTGGGGTGGTGACCAGTGGGGTGTGCAGGATGGGGGAGGGCATAGCTGCTGGCCCTACCAGACTGAACAGCCATCTGAGCAGGAACAACTTTGTGGATTTGGAATCCAGGGCTTTTGCTGGATCCATTTAGTCTCCCTAACTTTCACACTGTCTCCTGCTGACCCCTAAGCTGCCCTCCTTCCCCGTCCATGGGGGCTTTTTTCTCTGGAACCCTCTTTTATGGTATTCTGCCACTCCTACCTCCATTACCTGCCTCAGGATGCCTGCTTCCTCCTGCCTCTCAAACTCCATCTCTCTCCTAGGCTTATTCTGCTCATGGTGGTCTGTTCTCAGCACCTGGGCTCCTGCCAGTTACCCCTATGCCCCTGGAGACCAGCTTCAACCTCTTCAACTTGCACTCACATCCCTGCCTTCCGGCTCCTCTCGGTACGTGGGGCTCTGGGCAGGGGCAGTCAAGATTAGAAGGGCTGGCATGGAACATGTCCTCGACCCACCCCCTACCCTTTGGCCTTTGTTACTCCTCTAAAGCTGGCCCAGAAGGATCTGGGGGAGGGGCTCTTTTCCATCTCAGTCTCGCCCCTCAGGTACTGGTCCCAGTGGCTTGTGTGTGGATCATCTCTGCCCTTCTGGGTCTCAGCCCCCTGGAGCTGTCTGCCCCCACTGAGTCACCGTGGTTTTGGCTGCCTCGCCCAAGTACGTTTTCTCCTAGTTCTCCATTCTCTTACTGAAATAAAAGTGTCTGTGTTTTGTTTTGTTTTTAACTCAAGACTTAATGAATTTCATATCTGAGTTAAATTTTGTGTTTTCTCAAAACACACAGGGAAGGGAAATTGTCATTCTTGAGGCAATGCCCGTCCCTCACCACAGATGTTTTATTTAGTGTTAAGAGGTATCTGCAAATCCCACTGCTCCCTGCTGGTACCCCCTACCCTTTACACATTCATGTTACCTACCCCACAGGCATTTGAGTCAGTGACCTGTGTGTAAAGGTTGCTTTTGAGGTGTTGTATCTGAAATTTGCTCATTCATCAATTTGACGAACATCTGTTGAGTGCCAATTAAGTGCTAGGTACTTGATACAGGACATAAAGATAAATATGACATAGTACCCGTTTTCATGAAGCTTATCATCTGTTGGGCAATACAGATACTAATTAAATAGGCATCCAAGTAAATGCAGAATTGCATGCGGTAAGTGTAACAAAGGGGAGGTATATTGTGTGATGAGAGCATACTGGGGAGTCTGACTTTATCAGAGAGGTCAGGAAAGGTCTTCTTGAGGAAGTGATCATTGAGCTGAGATGTGAGGGATGAGTAGGAGCTAACTGGGTGAAGGAAGAGAGAAGAGCATTCTAGGTGGAGAGAACAGCATATGCCAAAGCCCTGTGGTGGCCAGCAACACAGCAAATACAAGGGCCTTAAACAAGGCCAGTATATCTGGAGTGAAGGGAGCCAGGCAGAGTGTGGTGGGAGATGAGGCTAAAGGGAGAGAGGTAAGGGTCAGAACAAAGAAGGCCTTTTAGACCAGGGTAAAGAGATGGTCTTTATCCCAATAGTTTGATGTCCTAAGACATCTTCAAAGACAATGGGGCCTCTAGGATTCTTGTAGCACAGTCCTTTGGAGGCGGGGATGCTCCGGACTTGAGTCTGGCCCCAAAGTGACACTTTCTCCCTCTTCAGCTGAGTGGGTCTGGCCCTTGCTGACGCCGCGGGCTCTGGCTGCAGGCCTCTCCATGGCCTTGGCCACCACCATCAGCTCCCTGGGCTGCTACGCCCTGTGTGGCCGGCTGCTGCATCTGCCTTCTCCACCTCCACAAGCCTGCAGTCGGGGTCTAAGCCTGGAGGGCCTGGGAAGTGTGCTGGCTGGGCTGTTGGGGAGCCCCATGGGCACTGCATCCAGCTTCCCCAACATGGGCACAGTGAGTCTTTTCCAGGTATGTGGACAGGATGGGAGGTGCTGGAAGTACAGAAAGAAGGGGACTCACGCTGACTGACAGCTGCGTGCTGTGCTCCTGTTAGGCACTTCGCATCAGTGCTCTCATTTAGGGAGGTGCCTAGAAATGGTAAGGGGCTAGGAGTGTAAGAAAGACACCAAATCAATATTAAACTCCTTTTATGCCTCAGGCACTGTACCAGGGCTGGGGTTCCAGTAAAAAATGAATCAGATAAAGTCCCTGCTTTCTTGGGGACTTCAGAGAGGGAGAGGCAGACAATGTAAGAAAAAAGCATAAACAAGGTAAAGTTGAGTAAAGGAGGCCCCTTTAGGTAGAGTGCTTGGGGATGCTTCTTGGAAGGGTAGCAGTTGAGTTGGGATTCAAATGATAAGAAGAGGCCACCAGGAAAACACTTGGAATAGTCAAGGAGGGGGCTGTGTTTTCTAACGTCTCTTCTTCGTGTAGGCGGGATCTCGGCGAGTGGCCTGCTTGGTGGGGCTGCTCTGCATGGGGCTTGGTCTCTCCCCAAGGCTGGCCCAGCTCCTCACCACCGTTCCGCTGCCTGTTCTTGGTGAGTGGATGTATCAGCAGGACTGGTATTGACCTAGTACCCCCCCCCCATAGCCCAACTGGTTGCTGTGGCTGGCACTCTTTTTCTGATACAGGGATATGTATGTCAGCCGCCTTCCATTTTCTCAGCCCAACAGAAGTCCTTGATTGGGTTTCTAGCAGAAGCAGAAATGAGCCTTTTGGTCATCTCTCTCCATCACAATCTGCCCCACCCTGCAATACTCCCTGCTGTGCCAGCCTGGGCTCAACCCCTCTGGTTGCTTTCCTATGAGACAGGTGGAGTGTTGGGCGTGACCCAGGCCGTGGTTCTGTCTACTGGACTCTCCAGCTTCCACCTGGCTGACATTGACTCTGGGCGGAATGTTTTCATTGTTGGCTTCTCCATCTTCATGGCCCTTCTGCTGCCAAGGTGGCTTCGTGAAGCTCCAGTCCTGCTGAGCACAGGTGGGAGGGAGGGGGGAGGAGTTGCTCAGTATCAGGAAAGCAAGGGCTTAAGGCTTGAGGTGCAGGCCCCACACCCTTCTCTGGGTTTTCATATAAATAGTTCATCCATTTAAAAAAATATATATATCTTTATTGATTTCAGAGAGAGGAAGGGAGAGGGAGAGATAAAGACAGAAATATCAGTGATGAGAGTCCTCATTGATCGGCTGCCTCCTGCACGCCCGACTGGGGATTGAACCACATTCTCCTGGATCCTAGGTTGATGCTTGACCGCTGAGCCACACCTGGCCAGGCAATTCATCCATTTGTTTAGCAAATATTTATTGAGCACCATGCAAGTTCCTTGGTGCCTCCAGATGTTACAGTCTAGTTGAAGAAATTAGATGTGTAGGCACATAACAGGAAAGGTTCAGATAAAGAGCTGTTCTGCTCAGTGGTGAAGAGAGAGATGGCTTGTTGTTTGAGATGATCCAGGTAAGTTTTATGGAGAAAGTAACATTGAGCAGGCCTTGAAGGATAGTAAGGTTTAAACACATATGTTGGAGGAACCATCATAAACAAGGACATAGAAGTAGGAAGTCATAGGGGATGTCTTGAGAGCAGCAATAAGCTTAGTTAGGTCAGCTTAGCAAGCGGCAGTGGTTCTCAACTGAGGATGATTTTGGCAATGTCTGGAGACATTTTTGGCTGTTACAAAAAGGGGATTGTTACTGGCATGCAGTGAGTAGAGAGATGCTGCTAAATATCCTACAATGCACAGGACAGCCCCCCTCAAAGAATTACCTGGTCTAAATTATTGGTAGTACTGAAGTTGAAAAACCCAGGCTAGAGCACAGAAGGTAGATGGGAAATAAGGTTGGGAATTTTAATACAAAACTTTCCAGAGACAGGGAGCCTGGAACTATCAAAGCATATCTGGAGGGCATGTGGCTATGGGAAGGGCCTGGGTATGGGAAATGAAGGGTAGAGGGACAAAGGGGATGGAACAGCAATTCAGAAAGATCTGTCCTTAGTCCAAGACTTAGATTTAGGTCTGGTAGTACAAGACTCCTTGGCCTTGCATAGGTTCAGGGTTCCCCTCCTGCCTGGTCTCAACATCCTGTAGGCTGGAGTCCCTTGGATGTGTTACTTCGCTCACTGCTCGCAGAGCCCATCTTCCTGGCAGGACTCTTGGGCTTTCTCCTAGAGAATACCATTCCTGGTAAGTTGAGGCCAGGCCCTAGCAGACTGGGAGTGGCCAGGAAGTCATCACTCCCTGGTCTGGGCAATGGCCTGACCAACCTCTCTATTTTGTAGGCACACGGCTTGAGCGAGGCCTGGGTCAAGGGCTACCGCCCCCTTTCATTGCCCAAAAGGCCTGGATGTCTCAGAAGTCCAGGGGGAAGGCTGCTCAAGAGTATGAGCTTCCTTTCCCCCTCCAAAACCTGTGTCCCTGCATCCCCCAGCCCTTCCGTTGCCTCTGCCCACTGCCTGAAGACCCTGGGAATGAGGAAGGAGGGCCCACTGAGCCAGAAGAGACAGTTGACTTGCTGCCTGGTTTGGGGGAGCAGTGCCCCAGGTCTTACAGAGAAGAACTTAGATCCCATTAATTGCAGGACTCATACTTCTGCCCTGGTTAGATTGCCCTATCTCCCAGCTTGCTGGAGAGTCAACTCCCAGGCTCTACTTTCTCCTAGGGAGTGTGTGTGTGTGTGTGTGTGTGTGTGTGTGTGTGTGTGTGTAAAATGGACCCACATGATGTCTTGTTTCCCAATAGGTGTGTTGCCTTTCCTTCTCTTAATTAGGCCTAACTGTTCCAGAGCAGGGGTCATGAATGAATAAATGAGATTTTGTCTGTGAACTATCTATACTTGAACTCCAGCATTCACTTAAATATTTATAGAGCGCTTCCCATGTACAAGATCCTGGAACTACAGGTATGGATAAGACAGGGTCCCTGCGCTCTCAAGACACTCATGGTTTAAAAAGACATATGTAGACTGGCCAGTGTGACTCAGTGGTTGAGCATAGACCTATGATCCAGGAGATTGCAGTTTGATTCCCGGTCAGGGCATGTGCCTGGGCTTTGGCTCTATCCCCAGTGTGGGGAGTGCAGGAGGCAGTAGATCAATGACTCTCATCATTGATGTTTCTATCTCTCTCCCCCTCTCTCTTCTTCTCTCTAAAATCAATAAAGATATATATTTTAAAAATAAATAAATAAAAACTTATGTAATTACTAAAATCCAAAGCAGAAGGTAGTCTGTAATACAGATTAAAACAATGCTATGGGAGCAAAAAGGAAGAAATAATTCTGACTGGGGATGGTGGGAAGGGCTTTATGTAAGAAGCAGCACTGAGGCTGCCCTTAGCAAGAGGAAGATTTGGGCTTGGGGAAAATGCAAGGGGAGAATTTTTCAGGCTCAAGTATCCAGCTCAAAAATTGTAAGTTATACGAAGTACAAGATGAGTTGAGGGATTTCAAGCTTCTCAGTGGTGATGAAGCATAATTATGGGAATGGAGGGAGGGAGAAATGAGACAAGAAGGAGGTAAAGGAAGAGGTCAGACCATGGGGTTTTTGCTTGGGAGACATTTCTTTTTTTAAAAAAAATTTAAAAATGTTTTTTATCGAGTTTAGAGAGAGGAAGAAAGAGATAGAAACATCTATGAGAGAGAGCCATTGATCGGATGCCTCCTACACCCGCTAATGGGGATCAAGCCCACAACTCGGGCATGTGTCCTGACCAGGAATCGAACTCAAACCCTGACCTCCTGGATCGAGGATCAACCACTGAGCCACGCTGGCTGGGCTGGGAGACACAGCCCTCAAATAGCTCAAGTGCTGGTGAAGACCCAAGAGATTATCTAGTGAAGTTCAACCCTCTCCCTATGTATATCAAAGAGCTTGGACAGGTGGGGGGGGGAAGCGATATTTATTGACAAGTCCAAATATAGGGATCCCTCTCCTGTACCTCACCCGGCATTCCTTGCACTGGGCCAGCACGATACCCCTGCAGCTAACCGCCGGTTGCCCTGCCTCGCGAGCTGTCACGGCCGGGTGGCCTTCAATCAGCTCCTGGGCCCAGATGTCCCGCCCACGCCAGGCCCGGGCCCCGCCCCCGTGCCCCAAGGCCCCGCCTCCCGTGGGGGGTGGGGAATGCCTCTACTTTAGGCCTTTCGGTTTGCGCGGGCCCGCGGGCCTGCTGCAGGGAGGGTGGGAGCTGTCGCAGCCGCTCACGGTAGGTGGGGTCGGGCTCGAGTTGGGGCCGGAGCCGGGGCCGGGTGGCTAGGGCTGCTCGGACCCTGAGTGCTGGCGCGGGCGCAGGCGCTCCCTCCCTGGAGGGACCCGCGGGCGGCCCAC